TTCTGTGAATTGCTTATTCATATGCATACATATATGTGTACACACATATACAAGTATACACATATATTTAGATTATTATTTGTAAATTGTATACATTTCTTGATATTTAGGGGTTTTTTACTTTTTTGTGGTTTAATTTTTTTTCTTTATTATTTTTTCTTTTTTTTTAATTTTATAAATTTTTTATAATTTTCTTCTCTACCCGCCCAGCCCTCTTCCCCCCCTCCCAGTTCGCTCCTCTCTTTCAAAAGTAAAAGAAAGACTCCCACCCTAGTACACAAATCCCCCCACACTCCTCCCACCACCCCAAGTACATTCCACTCTGCAACCTTAATTGTGGACTCTTGTGATAACCATAATACCCTATCATACATCACTTTTAAATTATTCTCTCCCTCATCTTTTTTTTTTTTACTTTTTAATTGCGTCTTTTGCTGAACTTAACTTAAAACTTTGTTAACTCTAAATTTTAAAAATACATACCGTAAAACATTGACCAATTCAAGTTTGTATATATACAACTCATTGGTGTAGTATATATACAATTTATTGGTGTTGATAACATTCGGTGAGTTGTGCAACTATTCTCATCCTCCTTTTCTCAGTTTTCTTCCCTCATTAACATAACTGAAATAGATGCCAGAGGAGCCTCTGCATATTGCACTAGAGCACGGAGAACCCAAAACAAAGGGAAGAAATGACAAAGTTAAACAGCTGAAAAGAAGATTTCAAAGGGCAGCTTTCAAAGGCAAAGCAAAGTATTATCATGAAATGTACAAAGAGCAGGAGACAGAAAATCAAAAAGGAAGAAAGCACTCAGCATTTCTCAAGCTGGAACTTGAAGCACAAATTCAAGCCACAAGTTGCAGTAGTTAAAAGATGTGATAGGCCATGTTTCAGATGATCCAGGAAACATCAAAAGATGGAAGGAATACACAGGTACTGTGTATTTTGGTATAGTCACTGTGCCAGAAAGCATAGGCTGACATAGAACTTTCTCAGGAAGTAGCATATGATCAAGAACCAATGGTAATAAAAGAGGAAATTCAAGCATCTCTGAAGGAATTGAAAAAAAAAGGCTCCAGGAATTGATGGAATACCACTTGAGATATTTCAACAAATAGAGGCAGCTGTGGATGTGCTAAATTGTCCCAAAATGTATAGTGGACAACTACCTGGACACCCAACTTAAAGAGCTCTATATTTATTACCATTCTAAAAAAAAAAGTGATCTAACAGAATGTGGAAATTATCAAACAATATCACTAATATCACATGCAAGCCAAATCTTGCTGAAGATACCAAGAAAATGACTAGAACTGTCCATCAATAGAGAACTGCCAGAAATACAAACTAGATTTAGAAGAGGCCATGACTCTAAGGATATCATTGCTGATGTTAGATGGATCTTGGCTGAAAATGTACCAAAAGAAAGTCTATTTGTATTTTGCCAGCTCTGCACAGGTAACCAACCCCTTATGTGACCAAACAGAACTGCCACTACCACTATGGGGTTTTCTTGACTGTATCTTTTATGGAAGCAGATTGCTTGGTCTTTTCTCCTGCAGAGCTGCTGAATGGATTCAAACTGCCAGCCTTACATTTAACAGCTGCGCATATAGTCATTTACTTACCAGACCTCTTGATTTCAAACTTAAATTATTTTTAACATCTTAATTTTTCCTCATAAATCTACTTCCTGCATTCTATCCCGAATTCTTCCCTGTCCAGTTAATGGTATCCTGATCCGCCAGTTTTTAGAAGCACCTTTGTCATCATCCTTGAGGCCTCTCTTTTCCACATACTTTAAATCTGTCCGACTCCTTACCACCTTTACTCTACCTTAGCCCAAACCATTGATACTTGCACACTAGCTTTCAGTGCATCTTTCTTCTACTCTTGTACCTTTACAGTGTATTTTTAGCACAGTAGACAGACTCTTTCTTAAAAAATAAATATAACATTTGCCAATTCAACATATTTTACATGTATAATTTGGTGGCAATGATGACATTAATCATCTTGTGCAACTATCACTAGTATTACCCATTGCCATATTTACCAGAGTTATCCCTTTATAAATCAGGTTGGATTTGAAATATATTTTTCATAATAGCATACTAGCAATGTTAAGTAAAGATAAGGTCATTTTGCTTATTTGAATAAAATTTTCATTGGTTTTCTATTACTTCTTGAATAACATTCTGATTTTGCTACCATGGCCATATATTGATTTGGCCTTCTGCATACTTTTAAAATTTTATTTCCTTTCCCTTTCTTCTTTGCATGCTTAACTGTAGACACACTGTTGTTCTGTCACTGTTAACCAAAGGCAAAAATATTTTTCTCTTAGAATTATTGATATTACTATTCCTTCTGCTTAGAACAAACCTTACTTGAAACTATACTGCAAATTGTTGCTTAATAAATGTCATAAACTATCCAACAATGAATGAATGTAAATCCAAAATCTCTGTAATCGTTCATTAAAATGAATTTTTTAAAAAATGGGGGGGGAATGTCATGAACTAGGTGAGACCTTTCCTGACCACTCTCACCTAGAGATGCATGCATGCTGTCCCATTCACCACACCACATCACAATCCAAACTTTCTACCCTGCTTTATTCCTCAGGCTGTATTATTAGCTGAAATGATAAGATTTCTTTCCTAAAGAGGGTAAAATGAGGCTGCTTCTTGGAGGCAAGAATTTTGAAGCTTCAACTTAACATACTTTAGGCATGTGTCCAGGAAGGATCAGTCCTTAGAGAAGCACCAGGATGCTTGGAACGGTGGAGGGACAGCAGAGCAGTGGAAGAACCTAGATGAGATGGATTGACACAGTAACTGGGGTAATGGCGGTAGCTGGGTCAAAGACAACAGTGGAAGAACCCAGATGAGATGGATTGGCACAGTAAGTGGGGTAATGGGGGTAGCTGTGTCAAAGACAGTGAGATTGGCTCAGGATAGCATAGGGTTTGAAGCTATATACATAGGGTCCCTCTGAGTTGAAAGCAACCCAATGCACATAACAACAACCCTCTAGCCCACAATAGAATAGAAACGCAACAAGGGCAGGGAAATTTCTGACTTATTATTGCATCTCTTGTACAAAGACATACTAGGCATCCAATATTTAAATTCATTACATCCTTAGTTATGAGACCTTGACCTTGAGCAAATTAGTTCATCTTACTAAATTTTAATTTTACATCTCTAAAACAAAGGCACGAAATTGTATCCATATCTCTGACAAATATTTGAAGGCAATCTCAAAGGTCATTAAACCCTTTCTTTTAAAAAAGTTATTTGCACAAGATCACATAGATCAAGCCAGTATTTTTTTTTCACAAAGTATAGTACTTCTAAGTTAGTAATCCAGTCTACATATTCTATATATCTTTGATTAAAATTTTACTAATTTTTATGTTTCTGCCCTTATTCTTACTGCCTCTTCATTATATCCTTTTTTTCAAGTCACCTCTTTATATTTGCAAATATCTTTTTCTTCAACCAGTCACTCTCTTCTCCCCATTCATTGACTATAAGCAGACATGCTACTTAACTCACATTCTTCTCTTATTAAGTGACTTCTCTCATTTTTTATTGCCCAAAACATGTATATAGTCATTTTTTTAATATATTACAAAATATGTTCATACTGAGATTGTAAATAATGAAAAAGGAACACTTTTGAACCAAACTTGGATTCCAATTTCAATTTCCTCTGACTTAAGGTTTAATATTTTTGTTGTTACATTTCATTTAGAATTCATCTTTTAAAGTTTTCTGTCTTCTAAAATAAATTTTGATATGTTGTTTACCTGTCATTTATTTCTATAACGTTCAAGGTTATTTACATAAACTTGGCAGAACAATATGCAATTAACCATGTAGTTGTCATCTTAATGTTAGTATGTTGTTGTTAGGTGCTGCCAAGTTGAATATGGCTTATAGCAACCCTTTGAACAATGGAACCTGTCCTGTCCTGTGCCATCTTCACACTCTGACACACTAAAGCCCATTGTTGAGTGTCAGTCTGCCTAGTTAAGGGTCTTCCTTTCCTTCACTGTCCCTCTACTTTCCAAGCATGAATATTCCTCAGTTTACATTGGATTACCTCCATGGCCTTCAGTAGTTTTCTAGTATCCTTTTAATTTCTTGTTAAATTTATTCTTGAGTGTGTTCTAATTCTTGTTGATTAAATGAGTGGAGTTAAGTTCAACCTAGTTCTTTTTTAGGAGCCTCTTGATAGTACAGTTAAGCCTTTGACTGCTAGCTAAAAGGTTGGCAGTTCAGACCCACCCAGAGGTACCTTGTGAGATCTAATGTTTTACTTCTGAATCCCTATGATGCAATTCTGTTCCACACACGTGATTGCCTTAAGTAGAATAAAGAAAAAGAGGAAAGAAAGAATTGACGTAGAAGACATGAAAGGAAATACACTATCTGATTCATGATCATGATAGTAGTAGTTTAAAAACCAGGGAGCATGAGAAATTTGTAAAGTATGAGGTGATAATTGATACATGTAAAGGAGAGAGAGATTGTGTGTGTGTGTGTGTGTATGTGTGTCTGTGTGTAAAATTAGCCAGCAAAAAGCAATCATGTTTATAAATGAGGTTATTTGTGAATGTTTCTTTTTCTTAACTATTCTGTGATTTCTTTAGTTTATGTTTTCACCAGCTTACCAATTTGATGTGAGCCATTCTTCTACTATATAAGTCTCAGGGTTTCATACAGAAGTATGACGTTATTGTTGTTGTGTGCCATTGAGTCAGAATCAACTCATAGCTGACCCTCCAAGCAGGTTTTCAGAGGCAGTAAATTGCATGGGAGGTTTTAGAAGGAAGGTTATAGAACCTTATTAATTTTTTTAAAAAAAATCAGATCTGTAGAATTGTTTTACTTGTGCTTATTTCATTTAAATTACTTTTAATATCTTTTTTAAATAACTAGTTCTTTTTCTATATTTAAGATCATTTTCTTTTCTTCTTGTAGGTTCCTCAAATGAGTCGCCCCGATCTGATCCTCTTTCTGATGAAATACCTGATGGCACTCATAGTTGGTATTCCTTCCATTTTCTGGGTTGGAAGCAAAAAAACATGCTTTGAATGGGCCAGTTTTTTCCATGGTCGTAGAAAAAAAGAGTAAGTTAAAATAAATTTAACACAATATTCACAAACCTTACATTTGCACAAATTTGTGTTTCTTCTATTAAAAATTATATGTACTTAGAGAAGATATTCAGATAATATCAAAACGTTGCACAGCCACTGGTATCTTGATTGGCACGTTACCATATCTAAGTAAAAACGTAAACATATTTTGAGATGTATAAGTTGAATCAGGGTTCTGATCTATCCCTGTGTTAATTAAAAATATTTAAGTGGAGGCCAGACTTTATGGGGGAAGAATTTTTAAATTAAAATCAAATTAATGTGTTATTCTTACTTGGCCCTCTTTATATTCCTGTGAGGGGTTAGTAAATATAATCCTCTCTGTTTTACAGAAAAGGAAACTGAAAAACACGTTAAGTTTCTTGGCCAAAGTTATACAGGTATTTAATATTAAAGTTAGATTAGATTTCTGGTTCCTGAAGTTTATTCAAAACCAGCTACTACAGTACATTGGCAGGGAACTATAAGAAATTGAAGCTGGCTTTAGAAGAGGGTACAACAATAGGAATATCATTGCTTATGTCAGTTGTATACAGACTAAAAGCAGAGAATACCAGAAGAATATCTATTTGTATTTTATTAACTATGCAGAGCTTTCTTACTGTATGAGTCATAAAAATTTATGGCTAACGTTGGTAAGAGTGGGAATCCATCAACAATTAATTATGCTGCCTGAAACTGAGGAGGAACTGAAGCGCTTGCTGCAGAAGGTCAAGGACTGCAGCCTTCAATATGGATTGAGAATCGATATCAAGAAAACAAAGATTCTCACCACTGGGCCAACTGGCAGCATCATGATGGGTGGAGAAGAGATTGAGATTGTAAACTGCTTAGTTTACCTGACTCCACAGTCAATACTTTTGGCACCAGCAGCTAGAATATTAAAAGCTGTATTGTGTTGAGAAAGTCGGCTGTCAGACTTCTCCAGAATACTGAAGAACAGGGATATCAATCTGGATACTAAAGTGCACCTGATACAGGCCATGGTCTTTGCAGTTACTTGCTATGCATCAGAGAGCCGACAATGACTAGGGAGGATAGAAGGAGAATTGATGCCTTTGAGCTGTGGTGTTGGAGAATAGTATTGAATATACCATGGACTGCTAAAAGAACAAACAGGTTCGTGCAGAGAGGTTGAAACCAGGCTGCTTCTCAGAGGCAAAGATTCTGAAGCTTCGTCTGACATACTTTGGACATGTTGCAAAAAGGAACCAGTCCATGGACAGGGACGTCATGTTTGGAAGGGTGGAGGGACAGTGCAGGAGAGGAAGACCCTCGATGAAATAGATTGATACAGTATCTGGGGCAATGGGGCTAGGTGTGTTTGAAACAATAAGATTGGCACAGGATAGAGCAGGGTTTACGGCTGTTATACATAGGGTCACTATGAGTTGCAGGCGACTCAACAGCACATAACAACAACAACCAGCACTGACTATTGTTCTTTCAACTATACAAAAAAATTTTAAGAGAGAGAATGTTAACTCATTCTAGTGTATTATATGTTAAAGCCAGAGTAGAAAAAAATGTAATAGTCAATAAAACAAGAAATAAATTATTAAATTCTTTCAATCCGTAATTGACCCTCCCCTATAACAGAATGCCATGGAAAAGTATAAGAAGTGCTGAAGCAGTAATTAAAGAATATTTTTTTGTTATTAGATGTCATTGAATCAAGTACAATTCATAGTGATCCTGTGAACAACAGACCTGAACCCTGTCCTATCTCGTGCCATCCTCATTGTCTCAGACACACATCAGCCCATTGTGGCAATCACTGTTATATTTAACAACAAAATATTTAGAAATCTTTAATTTCATGAATCTGTCATACATCGAATGGGAAAAAAAAAATTTTTTTAAAGGCCCTGAAATATCCCCAAAGCAAGAATGCATAGCTAACCTTCCCTCAGGTTTCTGAGGTAGTAAATCACATGGGAGGAGATTACCCATCGCTCTCCCTCAGAGCTGCTGGTCGATTCAGACCACCAGAGAAGCATCCCTTTTGAGCAGCAGCACAACTCCATGGAGCGCAAGTCTACTCTGACTCACAGGGGATTACCTTGAGTCAGAAGAGCTTGGCACCTGCTTAGTTTCGGCCACAAATTATCCACAAAAATAAAAGAGCACAGGTTTTTTTGTTGTTTTTCATGGGATTTTGTTTGTTTATTGTGATTTGAGTGAGTTTACAGAGCAAAGTGGTTCGGCATTCAACCTTTTCAAACAAAGGCCTCTTTTTTAATATTTTTTTAAATTGTGATTTGAATGAAAATTTACAAAGAAGCTGGTTTTTCATTCATACACATTTTGTTTTTTCTTTACCCTTTCCAAGGACATCTTTAAAGTACTAAAGAACAGGGGTGTTTGTTTAAAGACTTAAAGTTCACCTTAGTTAGATTTGTTTTTGTTGTTATATGCCATTTAGTCTTGTCCTATTCATAGTGACACAAGATCTGAACTTCGTCCCTTCCTAAGCCACCCTTATCCTCTCTGACAAACTGCTGGAGCCCATTATTGCAGTCACTGTGTCAGTCCATCTCCTATCTTTTGCTTATCTTCCACCTTTCCAAGGAATGCTCCCTTCTAGCAACATGCCCAAAGTATCTGAGATGAAACTTCGCCATCCTTGCCTCCAAGGAGCACTCTGGCTGCACCTTTTCCAAGACGTATCTGTTCTTTTGGCCATCCACAGGATAAATATTCAGTGCTGTCTTCCAACACCCAACTCAAAGGCTTCTATTTTTCCTTCTATTATCCTTATTCATTGCCCAGCTCTCACATGCACAGCAAATGATTGAAAAGACCACGTCTTGAATCAGGTGCACCTTAGCCTTCAAACTGTCATCACTGCTCAGTAAGTTGGAGAGGTCCCTGATAGCTGACTTCCTTGACTGCTTATACCAAAGACTGATTGTGGATCCTCATAAGATAAAGTCACTGACAATTTCAGTCTTTTCTCTATCATGGTGTTTCCTCTCTGTCCAGTAGTGAGGGGGGGTTTTCTTGATGGTGAGATGTAATCCATATTGAAAACTGTAATCTTTGATCTTCTGCAGCAAGTGTTTCAAGTCTTCTTCACTTTCAGCAAGATTGTATTATCTACATAGCACAGCTTGTTGATGACTCTTCCTCCTATCTTGATGCCATATTTTTTGTTTAAGTAAAGCACAGCTCCTCTAATTATTTGTTGAATTTGGAAATTGAATAAGTATAGAGAAAGGATACAGCCCTGGCCCATGCCTTTCTTGATTTTAAACTATGTAGTATTCCATTGCTCAGGTCAGACAACAGTTTCTTGGTCTAGGTATAGGCTTAGTGTGAACACAATTAAGTATTCTGGTATTCCAAATCTTTTCTGTGTTTACCATAATTTGTTATGATCCACACAGTCACAAGCATTTACCTAGATGTCTATTTGTGTTTTATTGACTATGCAAAGACTCATTGGATTAGATGGATTGAAATGAATAAGATACACTTTAAATGAATCGACAGAGTGACTAGAACATTGAGTCTAAACACAGTGGAGAAGATGAGGGTGTTGCGGGATGGAGCAGGGTTTGTTCTGTTGCACATCGGGTTGCTATGAGTTGGAAATTACTTGAGGGCACCTAACAGCTATGATATTTGTACCCATTTTCTCTTATGGCATCAATTTAAATTCCCTCAATGTAATAGTACTCTTCCTGATGCTTTTTGCAATTCTTATTTCTATTAAATCTTATATCCTACTCTTTCTCTTGAAGAGGATGCAGTCGGAGTGCTTTTTAGAGGCAAGAATGATGAGGCTTCGCCTCACATATTTTGGGCATGTTGCTAGGAGGGAGAAGGACTTGATGCTGGGAAGGGTGGAGGGTCGGCAAAGGAGAGGAAGATCCTCAACCAGGTGGATTGACAAGGTGACTGCTACAATGGGCTCATGTGTGTCAGGAAGTGTGAAGACGGCGCAGGACAGGACTGGGTTCAGATCTTTTTTCATAGGGTCACAATGATTCATACTTGACTTGAAGGCACCTAACAACAATAACTTTTTCTTGATTTCTGAGCTCTGTTTTTTGGCAAATACTCACCTTTTAACCTTAGAAAAGTTCACAGTTTTAAGTTTGAAGATACACGTTTCTCAGATAACACAATATCTGAAAGTATTATCACTGCTATCATATAATGGATTTCTCCTTTAAATATAGTTTTATAAAGCAGGAAAGCAAAAAGAAAGGAGTTATATAACTGCTAAAGAAATACTTATTTCTTAGATGTTTATTCATTATTTAAGAATGTCTTGATTGAGTTCTTACTCCGCTTAGTTGTGCAAGGGTTGCTGTGGGTCAGCATTTACTCAAGAGCACCTATCAACAAAAATGTGCCGAATGTGTTACCGTCGCTCAGTGTTGGGCTGCTAACCAAAAGATCTGTGGTTCAAAGCCATCAGCCAGTTGTGGGAGAAAGATTTGATGGTCCACTTCCATAAAGATTTTGTTAAAGCCTTAGAAACCTTTGTCCTGTAGGGTAATATGAGTTTAAATTAATTCATCACCAGTGAGTTTGGTTTTGGTTTGAATATTCTTTGAACAATTTTAGGATTGTTGTTGTTTATCTTCAAGTTGAAACCAACCATACCTGACCCTCCAGTGAGTTATAAGACAGAGTAAATCACATGAGAGTAGTTCTCCTGTGGAACAGTTGGTGGATTTGAACTGTGTGCCTTTGCATTGATATTGCAATTTCTTACCATTAAGCCACTAGAGAGGAAGACCCTTAATGAGATGGATTGACTCCGTGACTGGGGTATTGGGGGTAGGTATGTCAGAGACATGAGATTGGCACAGGATAGAGCAGGGTTTAGGGCTGTTGTACACAGGCTCTCTATGAGTCGTAGGCAACTCAACGGCACATAACAGCAACAAGCCACTAGAGCTTCTGTTTTAGTGGTTAAGTAGCAAACAAAACATTCAAGTTCCCTGCTTCCGTGGAGTATTCTTCCTTTCTGGATTTGCTGTGTATTTTTTGACATTTACTTTTTTTTTTCTTTTTAACCCCTTAATGTTGGCAAAAGAGTTTGAACTGAACATCCTTAGGTACCTCTAAAAATCCCTGTTGGTATAGTATGCAACATATTGGACTGCTGAGAGTTAGACAGTTCAGGTCGCCCGGCTGCTGCACAGGAGAAAGATGGACAGTCTCATCCAGGAAAGGTTTACAGCGTCAGAAATCTGATGAAGGGTCACTCTGAGCCAGAACCAGCTCAACAGAAGTGGGTGGGCACCTTTACACCATGGACAGATAATTGTGTAGTAGAGTTATGTTAGAAGTTCCAGACAGGGCTAAGGATTGAACCTTTTAGAAACCAATAAGAATTCTACCCTTGATCTTAGCCAAATGCTATGATTAAAACGCTCAAGGACCATTTAGTCTGTCAAATTTTCTACAACTGTGGAATCCTCAACCAACAAAGTTATTGTTCTTCAAGCCAGTATGGTAGGTACCTAGTCAGGAGCACAAGAGTGGATATGAGAGGAAGACTGTCAGCAAGATGGGTTGGTGCACTGTAACAATGGATTGAAGTACTATCAGAACTTACAAGGATGGCACAACAGAGGGCTAGGTTCAGACCCATTGTTCATACGGTCACTATGAGTTTAGTAGATTTGACAGCACCTAAGAGTAACAAGTGCTAGCCTTTGTGAAATGTCAAAAAAAACAATCGAAATAATGTTCTCAATTTAATGAGCACATTCAATATTCCAAACACTGTTCTAATCATATTATTATTGTTGTTAGCTGCTACTATGAAGTCAGCACCTCACTCACCCCTACCCCATGCACAAAAAAAACCCCGCAAAATGCCGCTTGGCCCAGGGCTGCACACAACTCCATCTGTGGTCAATTACAGAGAGACTGTTGTGGTCACTAGAGTTTTTGTTGATTGACTTCTAAAAAGAGATGACTACATACGTCTTCCTTAGTCCCTCTTAGTCTGGAAGCTCAGCTCGTTATAAAGAGACTGGGTTCTAAAATTGTATAAAGCCACATTTAAAATTATGCTAATGTCAATAATTCCAATACTGACTGAAATATTTTTAGAAATCCTTTTTTTGATTACCTAAGTTAGGTCCTTTTTTGTAAATCTTTCTTCTTATCAGCAAAATGAAGAAACAAACTTTCACTATTTGAGGGTAGATTACATTTTTTTAACAACCAGAAATTAGATGAAGCCAAGAATAGAAAATAAAGTCAACAGTTAAGATAGATTTTGTCAACATAAGGAAAGGTGATTTTGGGGTGTCTCTCTGAAGTGCCTTGGAGTCTGTCATGTGTATGTGTATATATATGCGTGTACTTTGCTATAAATGACAGAGGTGTATAATCTATGCTGATATTTAATAGTAATTTATACTTGTTCTTTCATCTGATTTCACATTTGACATTTTGTCTTCAGGATATAAAACCCGTGTTTTATCATTATTTTATAATTGGCTTCTAAGTCAATTTTTCTTCCTGGTAATTGGCTTTGTTGTGACATTTCACAAAACCTTTAATTTGTTAGGACCTCAGTTTATTTGTCTATAAATTGAGTATCGAAATATCTATTATTAATGAACATCCAATGTACCTTTACGTAGACCTGGTTGTGCAGTGGTTAAATGCTTGGCTGCTAGCCAAAAGATCAATAGTTCAAATCCACCAGCTGCTTTAATGGAAAAAAGATGAGTCAGTCTGCTTCCATAAAGCTACACAGCCTTAGAGACCCTGAAGGACAGTTCTCCTCTGTCCTGTAGGATTCTTATAAATTAGAATTGACTCACCATTACCGGGGGGGATAATATCTTCTTAGAAATAGCAATCTTAATCTCCATAAAACATTATTAAAAAGGATTGAAAGAGAATATAAAATAACTAGCATAAATTGTCCACAAATGCTAGTCTCTTTCAACAACAGCAGCACAACAGTCATTTTATAATTTGAAAACTTAGATTATATGCATTACATGGTACACCAATTGACATATTTCAGCTAACAGATGCTGCCCTGGATGTGCTCACCAAGTTGTGCCAAGAAATCTGGAGAACAACCACTTGGCCAACTGACTGGAAGAGATCTATATTTGTTCCCATTCCAAAGAAGGGTGACCCAACAGAGTGTGGAAACTACAGAACAATATCATTGATTTCACATGCAAGCAAGATTCCACTGAAGATTATCCAAAAATGACTGGAACAGTACATCAGCAGAGAACTGCCAGAAGTCCAGGCTGGGTTTAGAAGGGGTCGTGCTACTAGGGATATTGTAGCTAATATTAGATGGATCTTAGCTGTAAGTAAGGAGTACCAGAGGAATGTCTATTCATTGACTATGCAAAGGCATTTGACTGTGTGGATCATAACAAACTGTGGCTGACTCTGAGAAGAATGGGAATCCCAGAACACTTGACCAGGCTAATGAAAAACCTATACTTGGACCAGGAGGCAGTCGTCAGAACAGAGCAGGGAAACACTGCATGGTTCAAAATTGGGAAGGGCATATGCCAGGGATGCATCCTATCTCCATACCTTTTCAACCTATATGCAGAACAGATTATTCGGGAGGCTGGGCTCTATGAGGAGATATGTGGGGTCAAGATTGGTGGACGATTTATCAACAATCTGCATTATGCAGATGACACAACCCTGCTTGCTGAAACTGAGGAGGACCTGAAATGCTTGCTGCTGAGGGTCAAGGACTGCAGCCTCCAATATGGATTGAGGCTCAGTGTCAAGAAGACAAAGATTCTCACCACTGGACCAATTGGCAGCATCAGGATGGATGATGAAGAGATTGAGATTGTTTACAGTTTTAGTTTGCTTGGCACCACAGTCAACACTCTTGGCACCAGTAGCCAGGAAATTTAAAAAAACATATTGAAATGGGAAAGTCTGCTGTTAGGGACCTCTCCAAAGTTCTGAAGAGCAGTGGTGTCTCTCTGGAGACTAAGGTGCGTCTGATACAGGCCATGGTCTTTGCTATCACTTGTTACGCATCAGAGAGTTGGACAATAACTAAGGAAGATAGAAGGAGAATTGATGCCTTTGAGCTGTGGTGCTGGAAAAGAGTATTGAGGGTACCACGGACTGCTAGGAAAACAAACAGATTCATTCTAGAGAGGGTTAAACCAGGCAGCTCCTTGGAGCCAAGGATTCTGAGGCTTCATCTAACATACTTTAGACATATTGTAAGGAGGGACAGGTCCTTGGACAGGGACATCATACTTGGGAAGGTGGAGGGACAGCGCAGGAGAGGAAGGCCCTCTATGAGGTGGATTGATTCAGTGACTGGGTTAATCGGGATGGGAGTGTCAGAGACAGTGCAATTGGCACAGGACAGAGCAGAGTTTAGGGCTGTTGCACGTAGGGTCACTATGAGTCGCAAACGATTTCACGTCACATAACAACAACAACATATATGAATATAAAACAAGATACACCGATTTATCATCTAACTGGGTTTCTGATTCAAGTCCTTCTTTGTCATCATCAGAAACAGCTACCTGCTTTTAAACCCTTTATAGCAGTTAAAAAGGAAGCTCTGACAGCATAGTCCATAGCAAGTGGTGATGCTAATTCCAATGTGTGTCTCCAGCAGCTCCTTTGGAGACAAATGAGTAATCTCCTCCCAGTGCATTTTCCTGTCACAGAAACCCAGTGGAGGGTCACTGTGTGTCAGGACCCACTGCACAGCACTCTGCATTTATAGCAGTTAAAAGCACTTACTTTTGACAATAACTTATCTTCTTCATTTTCCCCCCTTAAATTTTAATTATGTCCAGGACGTAATTGTATTTAATTGCTTAAATTGATTTTTTATGTTATATTCTAAGTTGTGACCATTTGTTTATTTAATCATTAATATAACTGTTTCTTCCAGTTATATAACTGCTATCATGAAATCAGTTTTTACCCCTAAAACAACTACTCTTAGTTTCAAAATGTCCTGTTTATGGCTTTTATGAAGCATTTAGTATTCTAAACCATTCAAGAAAACCATTTCTTTGCTTTATAATAGCATTAATGTAATTTTGATGTTTTTGAGAATGGTGGGGGTTTTTTTTAGCTGAGAAGGAATTTTCAAAAATGATACCTTTATATACCTTCATTTTATAGATGAGGAAATTGAGGATGAATGATTTGTCTAAGATCACATCTTTACTGATAGAATTGGAATGGAAAATCTGATTTCCTCCATTGTTCTCTCAGCAGAACACCCACCCTCGGGCACAGATTACCATATTTTGTTATATTCTTTCCTCTCTTGATGATGTTCTCTTCTTGAATCCTAAAGATCTAATTTGGAGAGCAATTAATTTCAAGAATGACATCTGTATTCTTGAAATTACTTGTACCCTCCAGTATTTTCTATTGATTTATGGAGCATGCATGTACCTTAAACTTCGTATTTTGTTGTTTAGAATAGTGAATGAGAGCCGCCAGGTACTCCAGGAACCTGACTTTGCGCAGTCACTCCTGAGGGACCCAAACACTCCTATTATAAGGAAATCAAGAGGAACATCCACTCAAGGAACATCCACGCATGCGTCTTCAACTCAGCTGGCTATGGTGGACGATCAGAGAAGTAAAGCAGGGAGTGTCCACAGCAAAGTAAGCAGCTACCATGGCAGCCTCCACAGATCGCGTGATGGCAGGTAAGTTCTTTTATTGCTTTATTTTCTTTTATATGCTTAATTATGGTCAAACAACTTGAGGGAGAAAAATGCCAGTTTTGGGGTAGATGCTGACTATCATTTTAGCCTTTTTCCGGGTGGAGTTCTGTGGAGCTCTGGTGACCTAGAAAGCCAGGAGTTATGCTGCCAAGTCTGTGGCGGTCGGACAGTCTCCTCCCATGCGATTTACAGCTTCTGAAATCCCACTGTAAGATCAGCTGTGAGTCAGTTCTGACTCAATGAGAATGAGTTGAAGAAGAGTCCCAGGTTCTGATCAAAGTTGAAAGCCAGACAGAGTTCAGAGTTTAGATTTTATTTGATAGGTAGTGTGGAGTCATTGTTGGGCACTGAGCAGGGAGAAGGTGGGTAAAAATGGTAATTTTGGGAAAAGTCGCTTAATAGTCAGTTATGGGGGGAAAGATAGGCAGTCTCCTCTCATGTGATTTACTGTCTCTGAAAACCTGCTGGAAGATCGGCTTTATATGAGGTATGTATGAGGTATGTGTGTGTGTGGAAATTCAAAGGTGATTTAGAGATGGTAATCGTTTTTCAAAAACTCACAATCTACTAAGAAAGAATGTAGCCAGTATTGGTGTTGTAATTAAGAGTATGGAATCTGGAATGATAAATTTCATTTTTTATCATCTATAAAATGGAGATAATAATATTATCTGCCTCAGGGAATGCTGTGAGGATTAAATGAGATAATATAGCTAATCACATATAACAGTGACTGCCTTTACAGTAAGTGCCTGATCGTGATCGCTGTTATTACTGTAAGTGAACATTTAATGTAAAATATAACAGTACAGTTCTGGGAATTGCAGATTTTTCCATAAATGGCCAGAGTGACTGTTTTAGACTTTATGTGTAGACAATCTCTACTGTAGCACTCCTAAACTCTGCTGTTTAGCATGGAATAAGCCATAGACGATAAGTAATGAAGTCAAACTGCAAAACAGGAGTGTGACATTGGACCATAGTTTCCTGACTCCTGGGAAAGGTTGAGGATCAGAAAAAGAGAAGACCCCCCCAGAAGACGGATTGACACAGTGACACAATGGACTTGAGCATGTCCGAGATCATGAGGCTAGTGCACAATGGGGCAAGGTCCAGATCTGTTCACAGGGTCTCTGTGAGTTGAAATTAATAGCAGCTAACAACAACATGTCAGAGAAAGGTTTAGGAAGAATGAGTACATGAGAGAAGACAACCTGCTTTCTGAGGAAGATGCGGTAGCTGCTGCAGGCATTCTGTGTTCGCCCACTGTTTGCTCTCCCCAGGGAACAAGTCAGTCTGCAGCCATGACTTTTAGGGCCATGGGAAAGTCACCCATGGAACCGGATGTGGTCATTCACCGATTACCCTAACCAGCCACAATGTAAAATCCCTGGAGGAGGTGTGTGCCGACTTGATCAGAGGCGCAAAGGTGAACCTGAAGGTGAAGGGACCAGTTAGGATGCTGACCAAGACTCCGAGAGTCACCACAAGGAAGATTCCGTGTGGGAAAAGTTCCTAAGACCTGGGATTGTTTCCAGATGAGGATCAACAAGGAGTCATTGACGGGCACAGCCATTCTGAGATTGTCAAGCAGATCACCAATGTGGAGGAGGAAGGGAGAGAGAAAGAGGAAGGAGAAGAAGGAGGGGAGGAGAGGGGAGGGAGGAAGGAAGAAGTAGAAGGAGGAAGAGGAGGAAGAAGACGACAATGACTACTACTTGTGACTTCTCTCTTATTGAATCAGAAGACTGAAACACTAGAATTAGTGAAACTGCTTAGAAGTCTTCAGAAATCATTCAGTTGAGAGCTGATAGCTGATGTAGACTTACTGGAAAGTAGTAATAGTGAAAAGAATCTAATCAGTATTTTGAAGGAAGAAGTAATAATAGTTGGTGATTGACTAACATAAGCAGTTAGAAATAAGGGATGCACCAAAGATTTTTTTCTTTTTTTAGATTTCTAGAAAAATAAAAAACGAAGTTTCTAATGCCCCAAATAGGAAGCATTATATGTTTGGTTTGAAACTTATTTTTCTACAACTGTTTTATGTCCTGCTAATGTCATTCCATGGAACTCTAATGGTTTCATGGTAAAGGAGCTACATTGCTAACCAAAGGCCGGTGGTTCGAATCCACCAGCTGCTTTGCAGGGTAACAATGGGCAGTTGCCTTCCATCAGGTTTATAGCCTCTGAACACCTGCTAGAGGGTCAGCTGTGCGTCAGCTCTGACTCAACAGCAATGCATTTTTTCATTTAACCTCATCCCAGGGGAGCTGGGTGGCATACTCCTTGAGAACTGTGCTGCTACCCCCAGCGGTTTGAATTCACCAGCAGTTCTGCTACAAAAAGATATGCAATATCTCCCATGATATTTATGGCCTCCAAAATCCTGCTGGAGAGTCAGGTGTGACTTGGTTCCAGTTCTGTAGCAACACGGGGAAGGAGAGAGAGAGGAATCTCATTCCCGTCTTACTGTAGCTTGTTGGCCTGTCCTTCTGGTGTAGGATACGATTCTTAGTCTTACTCTGCTTTCCACCTTCATCACAGGAGGTTTAAAAAGCAGCCACTTTTATTTGATGTTGATATGCCTTCTATTTTATATAAAACTCTTTTCTCTTTTCTTGCCAGGTTTTTAGAGTGAATATTCTTTAATCTCTATTTTCACTTCCTACCTTTCTGTTTTCAAACTGACCATCTGTTAGTTTGCCATACTATGTTGGCTTGCATATTGCTCTGATGCCTGAAGCTATGCCACCAGTATTTAAAATACTAGCAAAGTCAAGGACTGTAGTTTTTAATATGGATTGAAGCTTAATATCAAGAAGACAAAGATTCTCACCACTGGGCCAGTTGGGAGCACCATAATAGATGGAGAAGAGATTGAGGCTGTTAGCAATTATAGCTTGCTCAGATCCACAATCAACACTCTTAGCACCAGCAGTCAGGAAATCAGATGAATTGCACTGGGAAAATCTGCTGTCATGGACCTCTCCAGAGTGCTGAAGAGAAAAGATGTCAGGTCTAGCAACAAAGGTGCGCCTAATCCAGGCCATGTTCTCCTCAATTACTTGTTATGCTTCAGAGAGTTGGACAATGACTAAGGATGACAGAAGAATAGATGCCTTCAAGTTGTGATGCTGGAGAAGAGTCTTGAACATACCATGGACTGCCAAAAAAGCAAATAGGTCTGTCTTGGAGAAGAGGAAACCAAGTCTCGCCTTGGAGGCTAGGATTTTGAAGTCTGCCTCACTTACTTTGGGCATGTGGCCAGGAGAGACCGGTCCTTGGAGAAGGACATCATTCTTGGAAGGATGGATGGACAGTACAGGAGAGGAAGACCCCAGATGAGATGGATTGATACAGTGACAGGGGCAATGGAGGTTGGTGTGTCAGAATTAGTGAGACTGGCTCAGGACAGGGAAAGGTTCAGAGCTGCTCTACATTGCAGGCAACTCAACCAGTAACTTCTATGACAGGTTTAGAAGCAGGAGTGGCATCCACTTCCTCAACAACATGCCCCCGGAAACTCTATCAACTTTGATAAATGTCGATAGTCGTAGAGCCTTTTGTTCATAGAGTCGCTATGAGTCGTGCTCAACTTGAAGGCAATCAACAACAACAACAGCAAAGTCAATTGTACGCAGATTATAGTATAACTTCTAGACTAAGAAAAGGACTAACCATCCAGTCCTGAAATAACAGGCCTTTGAAAAACCCAATGAATACCAGAAGAACACTATTGGATGTAGTGTTGGAAGATGAGACACTCAGATTGGAAGACACTCACTATACAATTAAGCAAGAGCCACCTCCTCTAACTAGTCTCCTGTTATGATGCAAATGGAGTAAAATGTCACCTAATGAAGGACCTTCATTTCCTGAGGTAGCAGGACTCAAAATGAGGAGAAATCACTACAGCTATTCAGTAATGATTGAACATGGAATGTGTGAAATATGAATCTAGGAAAATTGGAAGTTGTGAAAAATGGGGTGCAACACATCCACACTGTAGTGAGCTGAGATGGGCTGGCGTTGGCCATTTTGAACTGGACATTCATCTGCTCCTATGTCAAGAAAGCCAAAATGAAGAGGCATGGTATCATACTCATCATCAAAAAGAACTTTTCAAGATCTACCCTGAAGTATTACGTTGCGTGGATACAAGAAAGACATGTTAATACAACTATAATACAAATGTCTGTACCAACAACTTCAGCCAAAGATGAAGAAATTGAGGATTTCTATCAACTTTTATAGTCTGAAATTGATAGAACATGCAGTCAAGCTTACACTAGAACATAACTGTCATTAAGAAATGAAGAGTGGTTAGCAATAATTTCTGGTAGCCTTTCATTTCATGATTTATGATTAGTTCTTTTTTTTTTACTATTAACACATGGTCTGTTATATTCTATTTTTTAGTAACTACTTAAAATTCAATATGTTAATTAAATTAATCCAATTACATTTTTCTGAACTTTGTTGTCCTAATTTAAATATTTTTAAGAGATGTGCGTAGGAGTATGAGTATGAATATAGATACACATTTTTTAAAGGACTGGGAATTAAATGGTAAATACTATACTGTATCTAGACTGAAAGAGTTCCTTATAAATACAGGAAGATGAGTAAATAACAATAGTAAAGGTGAAAGCAAAATACTAATAATTTTTTTTTATTTCTTTTTTTGACCTTGACGAATTTGTCAAGGTCTAATCTCTTTTTCCTCATGCCCTTGGCCTGGGGGGGCGGGATTACTCTGTGACTCTGGTTGCAGCCATAAAAGCCCCAAAAAACAAAAACAAAACAAAACAAAATTTAAGAGTTCCCACTGCTGCCTTTCAAGATACATACAAAGAAGAAGAACACTGCCTGCAAGAAGCCTGTAGACCAGCTGACAGAATAAGAAAGCTGCCTTAACAGAAATAGAGGTAGCAGATGTTAGAATGTTACAGTATTTTTAAATAGGTACAGCTTGGATGAAAGAGCATACATATATGTTCAAGTGCTAATAAAAATAATTTAAATACACAGAAAAAAAACCAAGACTCTTTACTGGCCCTGTTGATTCTCCTTCATAGCAACCCTGTGGATTGAGAACTACCCCCTAGGGTTCACAGGACCGCCACCGCTTTCTGCCCAGGAGCTGCTGGCGGCTGACCTTACAACTAATTCGTTCAACTGATAACTGGGAAATAAACTGTCAGCACATAAGTCTCATCATCACTTGCTGATTCATTTACCTATATTTCTTTATGTTGTACTAATTTCTCCTTCAATGTGCTCCCTCTTCCAATTCTAATATTTTAATAAAATTTTCATTTCATTTACTACTGATCATCACCAATCATCTCAACTCCTAGGGCCAATGACATATTTCTTCTATTGATATTTCTTTCTCCTTGCATCTCTCATGTTGCCCAAAACTCATTTGACTGTGAAAAATGTCCATACTTTACAAAGCTCCTTCTTAGCAGTAATCTCCAACTCACCTCAGCTGTGTCCTTTTTACTAGAATTAGGACCTTAATTCTAAACCTACTGACTAAATCGTCACTTTTTTTGTTTTCCATATAAATTACAAAGTGTTCATAAAATTACTGTCAATATTAAAAGATTTGTTGTTATTGTAATCAATTTTTACTCCGTAGTCACTTAAAATTTCAGTGAGGAATTTTGATGAAATATAATACTGTTGTTTTCTGGTATGTCCTGGTAACCATGTCCAAATAAACTCTCTTATCTCAGGTATACTCCCTGTAGTTACAGAGGCATGGAGGAGAGACTACCTCATGGCAGTATGTCGCGGCTCACGGACCACTCCAGGCACAGCAGTTCTCATCGACTCAATGAGCAGTCACGACACAGCAGCATCAGAGATCTCAGTAATAACCCCATGACTCACATCACACATGGCACCAGCATGAACCGAGTTATTGAAGAAGATGGAACCAGCGCTTAATTTGCCCTACGCAAGGTGGAAAACATGTGCTGTTTAAAAAGCAGATTTTATCCTTTGCCTTTGCATGACTGATTGCTGTGACTCACTATTATCATGCTTTCAGTCAGGTGCAGACTGTGTTCATTGGAAAGGTAGATTTTTGCATTTTATATTACAACATGGAATATCAAGACATCCCACACTAAGAAAATAATTATCACAAAAAATTCTTCTTTCAAAGTTCTGAAGAAAGAATTATTTGTCTGGTTAGCGTTTTTATAAACCCAGTTATTTTATATTTAGAAAAAAGCCTAAATGTGTGGTGACTACTTTGTAGTAAACTTTCGTATAATAAGAACTAGTGGTGAGATGGCATTCTGGTAGTTCTGTTAATAAAACAAAATTTCAGAATTGAAGAAATATTTCTATGCAAGGTTTGTTTCTCAGATGAATAGTAGGACTTTGTAGTTCTTCTTTCCATTAAGTGGAAAAGAGCTGTATTTTTAAACTGTAAAAGAATTTGATAAATCAGCAGGGGTATTTTAGCTTATAGAATATAAGTGCAACAGGAAGACTCTGATTAGTCTGTTGAAGCCTCTTTCAAATTTCTAGCAAAATAATCTTTATCCAGAGATATTCAGGATTAGGATTAGCAGTGAAATTAAAAAAAAATGGAGATAAACATTTCCCCTCTAGTTTTGCTGTTTTTATTGCTTTTGTGTAAATACTACTTTTATTGGCTATGTCTTTATACCATCCACATGCATGATGGAATACTTTTCCTTTGTAGCCATCTTCTCCCGTGTAATATTGATTCATAGAGAACCTCATGTTCAGATTTGTTTCATGGAGGCATGTAATAAGATAAGCATCACACATTGTAAGGTTTTTTTTTGTGACAACCATATTGCAAAATAGTAAAATATTTCCTCTGTATTCATTGTATTTTTCTACAGTGAGACGTGATCTTGCCAAAGCCACCATAGCTTGGCCTCCAGGCCCCTCCTGTCAGTGAGCTCATTGTCTGCACTTGCTTTGCCATTAGGCTACTGCTTTGTGTCCCATGACCTTATTTTCAGATTCTGAATCAGTCTTGTTTACAGCTAAAATATATATAACCTAAATCCAAAGTGGTGATTAATTTGAGGTATTTGAAATCATTGTAGCTAAATGAAGCATGATTAGTCTTGCTGTGACGTATCTCTTATTCTAAAAATATCAACTCAAAAGTGTTTGACATTTTGTCTTGTAATATTTAAATAGTTTACGATATAAACTGTGAACTTTGTTAAGCATATAATTGATCAAAAAGAAAAGAAACAATTCTGGATGTGTTATTCAGAAAAGTATATTTAAATAAGTGGTTCTCAGCTCTGCAGATAAGAATCATTTGGGAAACTTCTGATAGCTTCCTCTCATCCATGTAATTGGTGGAGGTGAGACCTAAAGACTTAGTATTATCGAAAAGCTTCCCAGGTGATTCAGATGTGCAACCAGGATTGAAAACTACTCTTTCACATTGACTTGTCTCTGATGATGTTCTGATAGCATCATTGTACACCAAGTGAAAATATAGCTGGATTCAATGTTATACTTTTATATCATTACCTATATATGTGGTTGTTTTCCATTTTATCATCCATTATGAAACACAGAATTCTGGGCCCCATCATCGAGATCTCTAGTCAGTAGGTTGAAGGTTGGTAGGACTTAAGCACAGATTTCAAGAATCATACTTTTAAAAAATATTGCTCTAGATTTTAGGGAGGCCTGGATATGCCATCTCCTAGTCTTTTGACCTTTCAATAGTCAGCCTCTGAGCCTGCTTATTTTCACTGAAGACAAAAAATATTTACTCCACCTACCTCATAAATTTGTTGTGAGGATCAGTTTTTTAAAATAATATGATCACATGTTATTTTCTTTGGAAACTTGTAAGACATTATGACATATAAGATATTGATGTTATTGAGGATTTAAAAGGTTTTGTGGGCTTGTTGTTGAATGTGTTTAATTACTTGAGTATTTTTCTCTCTCACCCTTTAAACAAACAATGCCAAGCAAGTAAGTGTTGAAAAGAATCTTATTAGTTTTCAGTCACAGTCATTTTGCTAATTGTAGTAATTGTTTTTGGAACTCTGATGACCTAATAGGTAGGGAGGTACACTGCCAGCCCAAAGGAGCATGGTTCAAATCCATCGACTCATTTTTCCTCCCATGGAATTTACAGCAGGAAGGTCAGCTACCAATTTGCTCTAACTTGACAATAATGAATGAGATTAGTTTCTATTTGAATATTTGACCCAAAATGTTTTTCTTCTCTAGTCATTGTCTTTTCTCCTTGGAACTGGAACTAATGCCCAAGTCAGGCAGGTCCTGAGTTCCCTCATAACTGACCATGAATACACGTTTTCTTTCATGGCCAGACTTAACTAATTTATAAATAAATCAATAAATCATGGGGCTTTTCCCCCTGAGAATCTCTTCTAAGAACAGCATGAGAGAACAAAAACAAACATTCAGAAACAAAAATAAGAAGATAGAGATTACCAGTTTGAGCTAAAAAAATGTTGTCATCCATCGCCATCTGCATTTTACTATCAGCTGCCAAAATGTGGGTTGGTTCGCTTATAGATGTGGGCCAAATATAGACAGATAAGTGAACATCTCTCTGAAAATCTTAACGTTCTTTCCTGAATTTTGTGTACTTATCTGTATCTTCTCTGTTAAATTAATTGTTGGTATCTTTGTGTCATACTGATTTTTAGTTATTTTCAGTTTGTATCTTATTTTGCCCACAAATTCTATATATTTTTTAATTCTATATATTTTTAATCCATTGTTTCAAATAACAATTTCATTTGAGCCATGTTATTTACAAAATTAATGCTCAGATTAAGAATTTTTAAGAGACATTTAAGAACTTTGGCAAAGCAACATTTTCAAGTTCCAGCCTGCTTAAGCCAGTTTGAGCAAGTTTGGACAGTTCTTTTACCATCTATTGAATTTGTGTTGTGATTTCCATACGGTGTTTATTGTTCTATTAGTGTGTTGATAACTGAGAAAATAACTTCTAAAATGTTAATGCATAATCAGAATTTTTTTCAAAATACTATATTTTATGTTTTATTCCATAATTAATTTCTTCAGTAATTAATGTGAAAGATCAAAGGCCCCAGTTAAGCCCCAAGCTATAATTAGTGTGAAAGAACAATTGATTAATTAGAAACAACTGGCATAAGGCTTAATAAATTGTAACTTTTCAGTGAATATTTAAGTGAAAGAGCAGCCCATGTTACAGTTTTACCATAGTAATCAGTGTTCTAAGTTCAAAGATTTTTGAAGAGTCAACTGTTACTATATCAAACTTAAACAAATCTTTTATGTATTAATTTTTAAAGGTAAATAAGTGTTTTTTTAGAAACAAATAATTAGGCTGGTTGGTCTCAAGTTAGATCTTTCTGGATCATTTGAGTGAATAAATATTCAAAAACAATGTTAGTAGTGATTTTATTCTTTCTGCTGTTTCTTAGTGCAGATTTATAAAAATTCTAAGCAGAATTCCTTCAAATTAGACAAAGCTACATTTTTACCTACCTCAGTGATTTCTTTATGATAGCTGTTGGGAAAAAGAAAAAGAACTACAGTTCTTACATGTTTTTTATAAAGTAGTAGATGATCAAATGGAGCTTGGAAAACATTAATATACCAAAATTACACTATGATGATATTTATACTGCTTTATAACATGCCAAAGGTATTTCCATATGTCATACTTGGTTAATTTACATAATATAGTGAGTATGCTGAAAACTCCACTGTACTTGGAATTTGAAGATCCATGATTACTCTGTGTACTGGACAAATCATCTGATTTCTTTTGTTTCATAATTTCTTCCATGGAAAGTGAAAATAAGTTAATTTTTTAGTTCCATCCTCTCTTACTGGGTGTTATGAAGAGCAAATGATTAGTGTTCTGTAACCTATAAATTGCTTTAATATTTACGTCAACAATACAGTTAACCTTTAGAAATTATTATTTTGAATTTTTTTTCCACAAATAGCTATTCCCTTAAATTATTACATACTTATGTGCTCTCAAATTTTATATGGTTGAGTTAGTAGGTCACTTCCAGCAGAAATTTAGGAATCTTCCTTATGCTTTTTCTTTGAGATGGAATTATATAATTATATTAACTAAATCTGGCTTAAATTTATAAGACAAATATAAAAAGGAAAGTAAACTCTACAGTTTTTTCCCTTTGAAGACTTTCCTATACCTAATTCTTTATGATTAAGAATAAGTTTTTCAAAGTTGATTAATTTGTTGGTTTTCATCTTAACAGAACTAAGTCATAATACTATGGGAATTTCTTTGTATATATGTATGTAACTTTTAAAGTTTGCATAAAGTAAGAATTTCTCCATTTCTCTTCAAACACACAAAATGGTAGCATTTTAATAGAACCTAGATTTATAAAGGAACACATGATTCTTTTAAAATTATTGTCTTTTTACAACTAATCAAGAAAAAGCTGTTTACATTTAATTCTGCTACACTTGTTAGTAGCTGTGTTATATGTTATTCTGAAATACTTTTGGTTTATATTTTAAAAATATGTAAACATCTCTCCATAGTTTAATTAATTTCCTGACTTTTTTTTTCTTTCAGTGATAAGAATTGTATAAAGGGAGTAGAAAAACTATGCATTCCTCCAACTTTACCTTCCATTTTTCTTTCTAACTTCATCTTAATCCTATACTTTTTTAGTAATCAGATTGTTATAGGTTATCATTTTGTTTCAAGGATCCAGAACCAGCCATCTTGTATACATCCTCACTTAGTTGATTTATAAGTATTTAACATAATAAAGCAAAATCATACGGATATCATATTCTGTTACCTCAAAGTAATTAAGATGGAAATTTTTATTGCCATAAAGAGAAAAGAAAATAAAGCCTTTAATTTTATTTTATTCAAACCCCATACTAGTACAAGGTTGTTTCCTGTATTAGTTCTT